TAAGCCGGATACGCATTGGATTTTTGGTTTAACAGAATACCGATCTGTTTACTTAAACCTGTATCAATGTACTGCATCTGTTCAACGCACGCTGATTAAATTTTTTACGGAATGCTATAAGTTTTCCATCGCACGGCGCCAACTTTTTGTAAGGTAGAACATTATTTGATATAAATATACGTGTAATCTGTACCTCAAAGGTAAACAGCATTATGCGACAAAACGCATTTACAGGAGAGAAAAATTCGTGAGTGTATCCTAGAGTGCATTATTGATTATGATGCCATATATGATTGGATATTACATTAATTAGGCGTCGTAGGTCTTAATGGCTTACACTATTGTGTTGAATTTGTTTTTGCGAATGGTGTAAGAAAAATAATTTTGAAAAATATAGAGTTACTATTGTATGCCTCTGAGGTACAGATATATTTATTGTTTGTGGTCACATAAGCGTCATTACTAGCCGTCCGTGGTGACTATCGCCCCGGGCGGATTCCAAGACGCGAGAGAAAAACTGAAGTATGCTGAGTTACAGTGCGTTTCTCACACTGCATTTATGTTATTTCAGGACATAAATTGCATGCTGTGTGAATGCTTTGTACCCTTTTTTTTGCCGTAGTATGAGTTTTTGCACGACGTTTGTACTGATATTTCGCACGGATTTTTTTTTTAGTTAACATCCTATTTTGTTATCAACTTTTTTGAAAAAGTAAATAAAAAGTTTTCTCTATGAAAAGTCATGGCGTGTGTCCACCATATCTTCTTATCATCTTTGTTTTTTGAATAATTTCCTTCAATATAGCTCAGGTTTAAACACAATTTGACCGAATAAAGTGCAGATCTGCTACTTTTATACTAACTGGATCAAAAGGACATAGCTTCAGGCAATATGGACCTAAAGGTGCATTAATACATTATTTTTATAATTTAGCACAAGAAGCAACTAAAGTATAGCAATGTTTACATCTAGCACCTACCGATCTGAAGCAATTTTGACACACTTCTCTAAACAATAAGCCGTGTCCATTTATGTATTTATAACTGCGTATTTTGCAACCGCTGCCTTTGTGCTACGGAACAATAGTGAATAGGAATCTCATGGCCTTTTTCTTATCTGTATGATAGCCCACTAAAACTTTGTTTTTATACCGCTTGTGTTCCTCGTAAGGTTGCTTTTTTAAATTTCCGTTACACGTAGCTCGTGGTGTTATTGAAATTGTTATTCTTTATTACATTTATTATTAATTTAATACTCAGATATTTTATAGATTTGCATGAGTAAACAGTTTTTTAATTGATTTCACGCATCGCCCATTACATACAAACGAAAATTTCTTTATTATTGCAGTATTACGATATTACGATGATGTTAATTCTCTACAGATAATACCAAAACATCTTACTATGTAAGGCACAACTTTTTTGGGACTTTTTGCCGCTGGTCGTACTACATCATTAGTAGCTTAATAATATTAGAGCAATTCAAACGGTCGTCAACCACAGGCGTATCTGAAACTCGGATGTTAACCAAAGAAAATTGCCACGAGCCTTGTCCAAACATTTTCAACCTCATTTTCGAGTCGATTAGGTCAGAACGTGATTAAATCTTGGACCTTAGATGTACTTATTTTAATAATAAGCACACTAAGAGTTCACGAATCGTGACGCGCGTGAACTCGCTTCCTATACGGCACCGGTTAACAGTAACTGGAACAGTTCAGAGCGTTCCGTGTTTCCTGACGAGGCGGCGGCCTCGATTTCGTGTCGTGTCGTTTAACTCTTAAGGCGGAAAAAGGCCGAACGAAAAATCACCGTATCTACCACCGCACGTGTGCTAACGTAACTCGATACCGATCTATGATAGATTTCCCCGTCGGCCGTCCGAACGCTTCATATTGTACAGTACATGAAGGCGTTGATAGCGATAAAATACCACATGCATTTAACGCTCTTTGCTGAATTTCTTTCGCCGGTTCTTCTCAGGTCAGTGGCTTTTAACCGAACGGATAGTATAGTGTTTTTTTTTTTTTACGATCAGTAAGTGTGTAATGCTTCTGTATTGAATTGCCGTGATAGCTCAGTGTCCGGGCGATCGCCCGGAATTTTTTTTTCAATAATAATTTCAATTTTTCAATTCAATTTTAATTCAATATGCTCGAGTAACCTGAGTTCGATCCCCGGTGCCGGCACCAATGAAATTGTTAAATTCAAGTGCTGAAGTGCTCAGCGGTGAAGGAAAATATCGTGAGGAAACCTGCATATTTTCGAAATAATAATTTAATAAAATATATTTCGAAGATATGTGAAGTCCGCCAATCCGCAGTGAGGCCGCGTGGTGGACTATGCCCCGATACCGTCCGTACAGAGAAGGCTTTTGCGCAGCAGTAGGACATATATATAGGCTGATACTTTCTATATCGAATAAAGATTTAATTCGCTGACGACGTAGACTATAACGGTGATGACGGGACGGGCTAAAATCCGTAAAACATTGAATTCTTAGGAATGTTTTTACATTCATCATTTACCTTCCATTGAAAAAAATATCCGTACTTTTCCTTCAATTGATCTTTCTTACGCAGGACGTGAGTCACAAGGTGTACCTAGTGCTTAGTTGCTTAGCTTACAGCTTAGTTGTGCACATTCAAACTAATACTAATAGAGTCGATCGTTGAATTTTATGTCCAATTACCCAATCCTCTTTAAAGTATCAAACGACAACTACCAGTTTTGACCCATTTGGAACCAGTTCTTTATGGAAATCGGATGTAATTGATAATACTCTTTTAAAACATAATTTCAATAATTCGCTGTTAATTGATGGCGAGTCATTCGCAACGTTGCTGTTTGTAAATCAAAGCTAAAATGGCTTCAATTTAGCGCGAGGCGATACAGCTATGATAATTCCATTTTGTTTGCATTTGAAATTTAACAAAACCTCTTACTTTTGATGCGAAAGACTTTTTTTATTTACCTTATATTATTAAGTAACTAACACAAGTAACGCACCATCTAAAACGCATTTTCTTACTTGCAAGCACGGTACCTCAGCCATTGTCAGGTGTTAGTGTTAGTTTCTATTTACGTTATTTTAAAAATTTATACTACATAACATCATCAAGATCATTGTCGGGTCATGATGTAGGTAAATAAAATGTAATGATGTTTACGTATTATTATGGAATGTATTATTAATGCATATTGTACATAGGTAAGAGCCTCACATAAACGTCTGTGGTAGGGCTGCGCTACATTATTCGCTGTTGCACGAATGGGCAGGTGCGTCCTGGTTAGTACCACGACCTCACAGAAGACCGGCGTAAAGTAGAAGTGTTACACTTCTGCGTTTCGTCTGGTGGGTAAGGTAAGGGGTCCACTTTTTGAAAGGTGGCAGCGGTGGCAGGCGGGTATCACTTAACATCAGGTAAATCGTCTGCTCGCTTGGCACCTTTTTACATAAAAAAAATATTTTCGCGTTTCTTGTAGAGAATGAGGTAACCTACGCCCACTTCTCACATCTCCAATGTCCGTGGGTGGTGGTCTTCACTTAATATCATGTGAATCGCCTGCTCGGATCACAATTTATCACATAAAAACTGTGTTTGAGCGTTAGTGTATATATCCCTACTATAATCTTTATACAGCGTGTCTAAATAATAATAAAAAATATTAACGTTAAAAAGACCATAATTAAAAAAAATATTTTCAAACAAACTAATTAAGTAAAAAAGAAACAAAATTTGTAACACCTATGCAACTACAACTGACTGATTCATACATTCAGAGACTTTTTCCATTCGTTGCCACAACGTCGCATCACAAGCCTCTCCTTCTAACAGTATGTTTTGTCTCTTTTAAATTGATTCAACCCATTCATATGCTTTGTGACCTTTACAAAGGAACTTTACGTTACAGTTTTGTTTTATACGTAAGGGTTGTTCTAAAATTCTTTGTTTTGGAAAATTTAATAACTCTGTAAATATTGATGTTTAAAGAATGTAAATGTTTTAATACTATTTTAAAAAGTTATCCTCTATATGTGTGTTCATTTATTGTCGCGATTGTAAAGACACGCTTTATATATAGTACTTCTGTACGTGTATATGTTATTAAACTCCCAAACGACTGGAACGATTTTAAGGAAATTTTGTGTGTCTTCAGGTCGATTCGAGAAAGGTTTTTATTCACAATTCGGTCCAATATATATATATTTTATTTATAATTTATTTTCGGATTTCAGTCGTGTTTACAGGACTACGTCTGTCGGGTCCCCTAGTATAATATTATAAATGTGAATGTTAGTTTGTTCATTACGCTTTCACGCCAGAACTACTCAACCGACTATCATGAAAATTTGTAACGTTTGCTGTTAACGGAACCAATTAACTAGAAAATTGCTCGATTGTGCCGCCTTACCATTCTATCTATCCAGCGTGACGGAGGCTGCGAGCAAAGAGTCCGTTATCAGACGACGACCCGATTGGCGTAGTGCATAGTGAGCTTGCCTCTTGCGCCAGAGGGCGTGGGTAAGATCCCCCACTACTGTAAAAAAAGTAGGATGAAAATGGTGTTTTTTATATAGATAATCGTATTTATTTCTAAAAAAGAAAATTATGTTTCAGTATGTTTATCAGTTACCTAGTGCTCATAGAACGACATTTGCTTAGTTTGAGACTAGATAACAGTGCGTAAAAACTTCTCTTGAAATATTTATTTAGTACGTTTTTTTTGCGGGGTAAAACGGAGAACGTTCAAGGTTTTCACCTGACGGTAATAGGGACCCCGGCATCACCAATGTCCCGAATGCAGGTTGATTTGTATGTTATAAAATGTAATAAAATGGTCGTGTGGAGAACACGACCATTTTATATATACGTGTACAAATATAAGATCACTATTTGTGCCTAAAGTAAACACCACCAAGTTATCCGTGATATACGCGGGAAAGAAACTTATTAAAAGTTTACAAGAGACTCCCATAATTTAGTCGGAAGCGTATGCTCGACGCGGGCAACGGACAGAAAGCGACGTGGGGTGCAGCAGGTGCTTTGTAATTTGCCCTCACGCCACGCCTGGGCCAGTACACCCTTTTTGCATTCCGTTATTTGTACCTACCGTACAATTAAGTCTCGTTCACAACGAATTCTCTTGCTACACTTTTACCCTTCCCATCGCTCTTGAATGCCTCTCATGGTACAGTACACGGCGATAAATATTGCACTTCGACGCTTAGAAAGAGACGATCGGCTAATTTCGTATTATTAGGGCGTTGTCTTTGCCGCACGAGGCACTAACACTAGGATAGGTTGTATGTGTCAGGCATATCTAGCTCCTGTACACTCAAATAAAAGAGGTTTTTAACGCCTACCACTAAATGTGAAGCAACTTTTTAGTCTAGACGAAAAGTGTAGCTCTACATGTACTCTGGAAATGTACCAAGTGCAGACAATAACTACTAAAAGGATATTTATGTGTGTCCTCCGCTTAATAGACCGTTGTTGCGACGGCGGGCAAAGCGATCGATGTTCGATTAATATGGGCATCGTTAGCGGCGATTGCTATCCGCCCGCCTCGATGTCATATTGCCCTGGTACTTATTGCCAATTGTTACTATATGTACACTGGATCTATTCATGTATTTATCGCACTCGGAGCCGACAATTAGGACCTAATCGTATTAAGATCGTTAATTTATGAACTATGGGTATACTGTTAATTTTAGTGTATGTAACACTAATGTTGTTCTTCCCTGTTCAATGTTTTGTTCTAATTCGACTAGAATTAAATCGAAATTAAGATAACTAATTCATTGGATTTAATTTGCACTAAAATATATATTGATATCTCTTAAAATAATTTTCATTTTGGTTGCCCAGTAGTCGAAATTCGACCATAATTAATTATACATGGTATTGTGTGTAATTTTTTTATTGATTTAATGTATTTTTTATGCATAATTGAAAAAAATGTTAGCATTCTTTACTCCTTCTCTACATAGACTATAATTGTGGGAAATTTCATACTCCTCTGTCCGCGCAATTTTCATAAAAAGGGTTACAAAGTTTTGCTTCACGTATTAATATATAGATTTGAATTGAACAACTATTTTCATAAGTTCGAATTTTATTTCGGATTGCTTTAAACTTTTGCACTAACAATTAAGTTGAGTGCTCGAAGGTTGGTGGGGTTGGATAACTCAGTTTATTAATAATGGCCAGCCAAAAGTTGTGAGACCAAAGTTAAAATTAAACAAATAACGACTTGAAAATATTAAATTTTATACCTATATTTTGTGTAAGTAATTAAACTTTTAACGTTTTTATATGTTTTCGTTAACCCTCGTTTTTGAAGCCATTGTTTTACACTGTGTACTGTTAAGACAAAGTCAAATATAACATTATATATATATTCATTTTTAATACAAAGAATATAAACTGAATAATGATAAGATTTGAGTCTGCATTTGGTAATGTTTCGCGTTGTTTTAAAGAATTCTAGAGTTTCGCTGATTGTTGAACTTTAAAAGGATATTGTGTTAAATTTTATTGCAAGAGATTCAACTCTCTGTTGCACAATTAGTTTTCTATACGGAAATAATAATGATAATTGAGTGACGACCTGTGCAAATGTGTGAGAAGTCGATGGATGCAGGTGGCTCAGGATCGTACTTCATGGCAGTCTATGGGGGAGGCCTATGTTCAGCAGTGGACTCAAACAGGCTGAAATAATGATGATAACGGAAATAATAACGATGTAATAATCACGCGTTGATAAGTTTGTAAGTGGTTTTGACGTTTTTATGTTTTGACTTTTGTAGCTCCCTCCTTCTCCTTTCTCTTTTTCTTCTAATACCCCGATCTCCTGATAACAATGCGGTTGTAGTTATATAAATTATGGTATTATTTTGTGAAATCGTGCATCGGATTTCACGTCACAAAGCAAGTCGGCCACAGTCGGAACTTGCCGGTTATTACCGTATATATAAGACAACATTACCTACACATACGCGACACGTTCTCTTCCGCCCCGGGCGCCGTATAGATTAGCGCCGGACGGGTTTATAACCGGATACCTTGTACGTCGCCAGAGCCAGTCTGTGCTGTGCCGTTTGAATCGCCATTAGAAACATTGTGAGCCAGTGTTTTATGACGCAATTCGCGAGCATTTGTTCTGCAGTATCCAAAATATATTGGACCATTCGACTTTTGGGATAGATTCTTAAAACAGCAGCTACTTCTCTTTTTCGTCTTCGCCCCTCGACGGTATTGATCTTATTCTTGACTTGTCTACTCTCGACATAATTGGTCATTGGTCGTCCGAAGTAGAGATTTCCCTCGGAATTTGGGCGAAACAATCTGTCCTCTGTCTGAATATTGTTTGACTATCCTTTTTGAAAAGGCTTACGTTCATTTTTATCGTGTACGTTATATTAAACGCTACAAACATTAAAACAAACTTACGATATGATTCCGCTTTGCCGTCATCGTAGTAAACATAAATTATGAATTTATTTTTCACGCATCTTGAGGGTTACCTGTCGATGGAGAAATTATAAACTGCATAGCTGCATGACACCGTATGCGATACATAATTACACATGCACTTTGAATGCATTACGGACGAGCGTGTGCACAAACACGTGTTGTACTATTTCAATCAAGGAAATGGACAGCTTCTAAGATTGTGCAGTCGACTGCGTTATGCGAACACTCGCTCGCTCTTTGAACATAGGCCCGTCGGCGGCTTGATAGACTTCGAAAATAACTGGTGTAACACGTTTAGTTTACTCATCAAGCGAGTTGCAGTCGGATTCCGTTCGTTGAAATTATACAAACACTGTCCTGGACACGGCCTCCTGAAAATATTGTATGTGTACGGTTCGTTATCAACTACTCATAAACGCCGTGATAACTCAGGAAAATCCCACTGCTGGAACCAATTGGATTGTGGATTTAATTTTTAATTGTTGTACTCATCACGTGCTCACGTTTGGGAACACATCGTGAGTTCTCGCAATCATAATTCATCGTTGAATTCTCGTAATTTCATTTGCATATTAAAGTTATCTAAAAGAATTTGTTTATTGTGAAACAAGTACACTCTAACAAAAAACAATACCGACTTCATATATCTCACTCACTGTACATTTTCTACTTGGTTTTGAGGAGTTATCTGATGTGTCTACAGAGTCGAAGGTCCAATACTAATGAAGTTAATATGGAATCACACGGGATCTTAACTGCATATAATGCAAAAAAAATCGCTTCATAAATGATTGATAACAAACAAAAAAATAAAATAATTCATTCTCAATACGGAACTTTTTCCTTCTTTTGTTGTTGGTTGATAATAAGTTTCAAATGTAAATATAATCACTTTGTTGATGGTATTCACGTAAGAACACAGTTGCTATGATGTGTAGTAATTAAACATTAAAAAATCTAAACTTTGATTGAATTGGTATTGCGAGTGGAAGCTTATAACGCTTTTTACAGATATTAATATTTGCACAGCTATTATTTTTCGCAATTAAAACCCTAGCCTAGAACAAGAAAGTAAGATGTCATGTGTATATTTTAAACTTACCGAGTTTCTAGTAGAATAGTGTAATTTATGTGCGATTCATTACATTTGATTACGGATGTGATCTTTTCGCTTTTAGCTCTGGGGAATTAAAGCTTAGGTGGTGTAAAACTGCGCCCCCGCGACATGCAAAGTAAAAATCACATGTGGACATGTGTGGAGTTCTAATCTGTTTACATGTCTACATGTGTGTCCACATGGCTTAGAATGTCGTGGGGGGTTACTCGTAATCGAACTCTAACGGTCGTCGACTGTCTAATCGGAGGCCGTTAGTGGTGTGTATCGCCCCAGAACGCGTGCGTGATGTATGTACGTTGTGTGCTAAGTGACAAGTAACGAGCGTCGCGAATGATCGCTTGCAGAACAACTGCTGGCCAGGCGTCGGGCCGGGCTGCTGCGGCGCGCCCGCCGTGCCGAGTCGCGCGTGCGATGCGGAGCGGTCCCCGCCGCCCGCGCCGCCACCCGCTCCGCCTGTGCTTTGCGCAGACCCTGTTGCCGAGAACCTACGTCAGTATACACTGATACAGACGACACATTTGGTGATTATGCTTTCCGGATATGATTTTTTTTTTAGTTTTAAGTTTCTTTTTTGGTTTTGGTTCATTGTTGTTATTGTTTTTGTACTCGTGCACGCTATAGTGCTATTTGTATGTGCTCGATGAGTAAGTGAGATAAAGGTTGATTTTCCTTGTATGATTTTTTATTAATTTTTTCATCCGTATGTTTTCATAAATACAGCGAGTTTTATGCCTCAATTTAAACACATGTATATTATATTGGATTTTGTATTACATAACATCTTAAACTCTCAAGCTAATACTAGGAGGGTCTGTATCATTTCATTACCGAAATTGGCGCTTAAATTACGTTACCCCATTAAAATTTAACGCTCTCCAAACTCCGAGATTTTATTAAGGTCCCGGTATGAAAAGTTTAAGTAAACAGTGTGTTTTGTTTCCGAGTTTCATAATTAATTGCGCACTCCAACGTGGAAAAATTCTGATACGTTAGCAAGGAACGGTAATAAATCGGCTACACGATCAAAATTATTAACTAGAAGTGTCGAAATCAAAACAACGAGTTCACTCAAGGGCTTCAACCCCTTTATTAACGTTTTATAGTTTAAATAACAGCGTATTCACACAAACCCGGAGGTGGTGCCCGTATTGAACACTGAACGTACATCATTCAATTTAAATACGTAGAATTCGGGATTTGAGCTAGGGATGTCAAAAAAACACCGATATATCGATCTTTCAGCCGATATATTTCCGATATATCGATATATCCAAAAGTAATAATAAAAAATTAGAAAGTTATATATAAACATTCAATACCAAAAATCGTATCAAAAGCGATAATTTTTCAAATTCGAATCCCGCACAGTGTCCATAGGTGTCAAAAATTTAATACTTGATATATCTTTTTTTTTTTGACAAAGGGGATTCTGGGACCTATATCCGGTATATCGATTTTATCTCATCGATATATCGAGACCGATATTGATATTTTTAAAAATATGGACATATCGATATATTTCTTCACTTTTGACATCCCTAATTTGCGCGGACCCACAGCTACCTGGCACCCCCACCACGCACACCCCTGCCGGGGTCCCCTTTCCCCCGTCATTCCATCCCCAAGCCACAACCCTCGAAGATGCGTGCGCGCCGCCTCGCCTCGTATACGGCAAACGAACGCTATGTGCTGTATCTGAAAATGATTCGTGTGATCGTCGATGATTATTTATGATATCAGTGGTGTCCAGTGTAGTGTAGTTGGTGTGGTGCTGCCGTTTGTTTGTAAATAAATATGGATCTCTCCATACCGAGGATCAAATACGAGACAGAGGATTATTATTACGACGAATTCGAGCTACCAGAACCGGAGCCGTGAGTTTGCTTCGAACAATGTCTTATTTGCGTTCGGCAATACCATTGCAGTGTTGAGCGATTCATTTGGAAGTTAAAATATCAATAACGTTATCATATTGTGCAGTTGAGGGGTTCCACGGAAATGAATACTGCCCAACGTTCGGCCCAGTAACATAATCACTGTCTGTAATGTGTTAATTAACTTTAATGATTTATCGTTGTGTTAATTTAACACGCTGTCATAGAAGAAACCGTAAAATAGCTGTATTTAACAATGCGTACCGTTCGCGTTAACACAAATCGTCAAATCGTTAATAGACTTACAGAAATGTCCGTTAATTAAGCCGAATACAGTTAAAACAATGATGTACATTATTACATACGTTAGTATGACGTGGTGTTATTGAGTATATACGTCTATGTAAATAGAAATTACTAATAATTGTCTCTTAACTGAAGTCCTTATTTTTTGAAAACATGCTGTTTCCTTAGAATTCGCAGAAAACTATCCAAAAGTTGGTAACCCCAAATTAGTGCGGTGATTAGTTAATGCCGCTACGAATTCTTTCTTTTGTCTATTATTAACAAAAAACCCAACAAACAACGCAGCTAAACGGCTTCATTATAAGTTAATCCGAACAAATGTTTACCAGCGAACAGTTTCGAGTTACTTTAATACATAAGGAAATTTATGGTTTAAATGATTTTCATTATCCTAAAACAACAATAATTTTCCTAATAATAAACTGAAGTGACATAGGAAAGTAATAGCTTACCAAGCGGAGCTAAGTAAGTAGGCTTATGAGGGTCGGGGGTTCCATTTTTTATAACGATTATAAAACAATAAAAATATTTTTTTAAACAATGTTTATAATCTTCCCCATCGGTTATATCGGTTCTTCGAGCTATATGACCGGCCCAGTGCTACTTTAGTTTACTGATGCTCTGAGCTTTGTCAGTAACCTTGTTTTTGATGTCTTCCTTGCGAACTCGTATTACGCAGGGAATTACCGAGCATAGCTCGCTCCATAGCCCGCTGAGCATTTAACGACCGGTTTCCGAAACACTGAACATCGTAGAAGTTAATTAATCAGCTGCCAAAAGGCTTTTCAAATGTCATTTGAGTTGCCAAAAAGATGGTTAAATTCTTTGAATTGATCATTCTGATAATTAAGAAAATCAGTCTTAAAGAGTAAGAGATAGAGATTTAAACGACCACGCCACATGGCTAAACGAAGATTATTAACATTAATATGAATTATACATTAAATGAAGGTGAGCTACCAATTGTTAATGATATAAAAACTTCGATATGGAGGCACGGTAATAATCTTAAATGAAATAAAATAATCTAAAATCATAGAAAGTTCGCTTACGTTATATTTGAACGGCTCCGTAAAGGAAAATGTATAATGTATTCCTTGTTAGGTGTTCATATGCACTATTAAGAGTTTCATAAGTATTATATGTTATTAGTATTATTATTTCCCTAATTAAAAAAATATATTCGGTTATCTTTTTTGAAAGTCTACCTTTAGCTCTGCACGTCTTAAATAGCCTGGTAAAGAATACTATGGTATTGAGAAGTATTAATTGTAATATTGTTGGTTAAAAGTTTAAATAGATAACATTTTTCTTCGCAACTCTACTCGCTCCCAATACCTCATATCTATACTAATATTATAAACGCGAAAGTAAATCTGTCTGTCTGTCTCGCTTTCACTCAAAAACTACTCAACCGATTTAAATGCTAGAGCCTGAGAAAGGGCATAGGCTATTTTTTAATTAAAAAAAAGGGTTGAAAGATATTTATTTAAGGGCTTCAACGCGAGCGAAGCCGCGGGCGTAAAGCTAGTTTAATATAAACTCTGGTTTGCACAAAACAATCGTAAACTTGGCGTCGGTGTCTGCAGGTGTCCTTAAACTATGGTGCAAATGCCCATTTTTTGTCTAACATGACTATTTTTACCCGCACCGTAGTTTCTCTTTTATGGTAGCCGTGTGTGTAGCAAAAAATCTATGTCCCTCTCTCTTACTCGGTGTCCCTTTCTTCTTTCATCTGCTTTGAACGCTTGGCACGGTGCAAATTGGCGTTTGAAGCAGCATTATGGACTAGGATTGTGTAATTTTTATAGAAACTGTTCGTGTACTTGGTCACGTATTCAAAGAGTGCCGAGTATCACACGAATTTTGTCACGTACCGTGTATAATAGGTACGGCTTTCCTAACGACGCGTCGAAAACAATGGGCGCGCTATCGCTGAGGTCTTTTTGGAACTTTTTCCCACATCTACCTAGTATGATTTTTCTTTCAGTCTGTAGACTATTAATGCTTGTTAGAACGCATAACTCGTGTTGTTACATCCCATGATTTTTTTTTATGGAAAAGGAGGCAAAACCAGCAAGCGGCTTACCTGATGGTAAGCGATTTTAACACTTTTGTAACATCGGAGCAGTCACAATTGCGTTGCCGGCCTTTGAGGCAGGAGTAGGCTCTCTTCTCGAAAGTCCCTTAGTCGTATTGTTACGGCCGCGCATGTGCCCATGCGTACATTATTCACTGAGAGCATCGCCCTGGAACGTGGGCGTACCTTATGTACGAACTAATTGGTTATAGTGTTGAGATGTTTCGAACTAATTCTCTAATTCCGTGAGGAAAGTGTTGCTTCGGTTACGGCCTCCGCTCGGGATCTGCCCGTAAACAAGGCATATTTTTATTGATATTTTTATTTGCTTGCGTTTATCTTTCTGATCGATGGCTGCGATTGTCTTCAAAGCGAGGTCGAATTGACCTCTACTGAGCTTGTTCACCCTTCACTACTAATATTATCACTTTCAATAAACGATCGTATATAATTGTCAACTATTTGGAAACTTTCAATATTAGTCATTTACCAATAAAAGTATTGCGGTAAATAGCCACGATGTAACACATATAAAACTGGAATGGCAGCTAGAAGTGGAAATAACATTTTGTTTCAAAGTCAAAGTCAAAATGTCTTTATTCATTCATATGGGTTTATTTTGAGCTCTTATTGAAGTTAGTTAACTAGACCTGACGAACTGGCAAGAAACTTTGCGGTCTTATCTTTATTTTAATTAAGTATTGTTAATTAAGTTTTTTTTTTAAATTGTAAGTACACATTTAAGTATTTAAGAATAAAATACGCAGGAGAGTCATTACCTGTTGCGTTTTGCCTGGTGACTAAGGTAACCACGGCCCACTCTTATATAGGTTGGCAACGCGTCCGCAAGTGTTGCAGTCTACCAAGGGCAAAGACGATCTCTCAGCATCAGACGGACCACCAGCCCGCAAAAAAAGGGTCATCCAAATATTTTGAAGAGTTTCCATCTTGATCTATCCGTGTTAGTTACGCCCCTGCGAGTATATTTCGCTCACCACATAAATCGCTTGTGATCGTCCGTGTGTAATGGGCTGATTCGGGTGTGTGATAAAGCTTTGATGTATTAGTCGATAGGTTTTCGCTAATCTCATAACATGATTAAATCCAGTACGCGTTTGGAGGGACAACGGAACAATCCATTGAGTTAAAATTTACATAAGTGCGGGGTGCGTTCGAAGCAAGCGCGCATTGCTTAATCGTTCTTTATGCGCACGGTAACGGTGAAGGGTCTTCTCTACGATAGATTATAATGTGAGTGTTTTTAAACTATTGTACAGTGAGTTGTTAGGCGTCAGCCGTTACGCCGCCACTAAACTTAGGTGCGATACTATTTAATCGCTCCGTGTGGGGCTTGCCCTATCTTTATTTTATAAAAGTACATACCGAAACCAGCGACATTAGTGGCTGGGCCGCGCAATAGTTTTCGCTGTTGCACGAATGGGCAGGTACGTCCGGGGAAGTACCACGGCCGTGGTTGCAAATGCCCATGGGTGACGGATGACTTCAGGTGACGCCAGCTCGCTTGCCACCTTGTCACAAAGCCACTGAGAGAATTTGAAGCAATCCTAGAAGCAACCCTAATTGAACTGGCATATTATAAAGTCGGCCATTACATTCAGGACCAAGACTTATGACAATAACTCCCGCTCTGGAGCGACGGCTAACTGCTGCTCGTTATATTGCTAATATTTTTTTTTTTAACTATTACAAAGAAATTCTCGTTTTTAGCTTTGATTTTACGTCCACGAGGGTTTAGAATAAGAACTAAATTGAGTAATAAATTTTGACTTTGCCGGTAAAACGTTTTTGCTTTTTATTTTTATCAACTGTGTTTGAGTTACCTTAGTCAAGGTCAGCACCAAATTGTTAATCTCATCTGTATTATAGGTTTTCATGCGTGACAATTCCTTTGTAGTTCAACCGCACCCAGCCTTATTGGTTATATACAACGGGAAAGCCGCATATATTTATATCAACCTCGTCTAGCAGCAAACTACTCCACAAACAAAACGTTGTAAATTAACGCGAATTGATTGATTCGCCTTAATTCGTTCTTAATTCGTAAATGTATTTTTTTTTTTGTGTTCATTAGCTCAGAACTTTCGACTGAGTGTACCGATTTCTATGATTCTTTTTTATTTCAAAGCTCTTGCTTCCCGTGTGTTCCCGTGTGGTTATTTTCATTGGTATTCGATCTTGGGCCCCAGAGATACGTACGAAACTCCTGAAAATCAGTTATAAAATGAATACAGAGCGCATATATTTGCAGTCGGTTTTTGGTTTTTCGTTAATAAAAATGGCCTTGTTATATGAATTGAGAACCTCCTCCGTTTTTGAAGTCGGTAAAAGTACGCAATAACACTTTGACGAACGTACTTTCTGTTTTTAGTTTTAAATCGGGGGAATTTGGAAGAATATTAAAGAATCTATAGATTCCGTTGGTATGAGTTAAAATATCTCCATGTTAACCATGTATGAATTTTCGCTACCCATAACCAGGATTGAATGGCGGTTGAGCCTCTAAATTCTATGGAAACATGTGATAAATTATGTCATAGAATAAAACTCATTCCGTACGTTTGCCTTCGCAGTGTGGGAGATAGCGGGGAGAGGAGGCGAGCGGGGAGTGTCGCGGGCGCGGGGGGAGCGCGCCACCGTCAGGCGGCGGCGGCCGCAACGACGACGGCGCACAGCAAGCAGCTGGCGGCGGGCGGGCCCAACCACCCGCCCCAGCCGCAAGGTAACAAACGTAATGTCCACCATTTTGTGATCCCGACACGACACACACGCGCACACACGCACACACAACACGTACGCACACAATAGGGATGTCGAAGGAATATCTATCTATCGACATTTTCAGCCGATATATTTTGATCCGATAAATCTATACAAATATATGTAGAAAAACGTATCAAAAATGATATTTTTTTCAAATTCGAATCCGTCATAGAGTCAAATATTTGACATACCCTTTTTTTGGACGAAGGGGTTTTATAGGACCTGTATCCGATTATCGTATCGATAAATTTCTTCACTTTCGACATCCCTAACATACAAATCTACCAGTCACCGCGTCGACTGATCGCGCGTATTGCTTCAGTTTTATTTATTCACACCTTTCATGTAAGTAAAGATCGATCGAGATGCGTTGGAGTTGTTGAATTTACTTAGGTATACGCTTATATCTTGTATGTTGAAAAATAAACTTGACTACGTGCATTTTGCATGATACTTGCGGTAATACTGCGTGTTTCATACATTTAAAAGGATAGTCGTGGAAAGAATACTTTTATATGTAATAAATGACCCTCCGCCTAATACCGCGATGCCGCGTGCATAATGCATCGATGTTACACAAAGGCCTTTGCTAAGCAATAAGTAGGTGGCGGTTTTTATAGGCAGTTACTTTAGTTTTAATTTTATATAAAAGTGTGTGGTCTCAAATACACAATAAATAAAACGAATGCATAAGAATAAAAAAAAAAGTTTTGGAAAAATGAAAAATTAATATCTATAATTAGTGGTAAGTATTCATTAAATTTTTAATACTGATTAGATTTAATATCGACTATCGGGTGGACAATTTAACTTTAATCAAATGTCAAAAATTTTTATTTAAAAAAACAATCCAAAATATCTCGATCAATAATAATTGCATTTAATGTATAAACACTTAAATTACCCGTCTTTGGCGATCAGTTGATGTTTTTACCCCTAAATTAGTTGCATGTTATCGATGTATAGAATGGACCATATAAAATTTTGCATGAATATACATATTTTTAATTTCTGTCCCTGTAGTTAAAAAAGATAGTAGATATATATTTAGTGTAAATAGATTTGATTGAAACATTCGACACAACTTACTGGAAATTACTTTAAAAAAGTAAGGCAATGTTACAAGTAGAAATTTTTTGGGGGTTTAAATGTCCATTGTCTACATTTTATTCTTTTATATAAGTAACCTTGTTGTTCCTTGATGGAGCCATTACACTAAAGTTGGAATTGGAACTGATGTTATTATCCATAAAATATCCTATTGCCCGTATTTTTCTATAAAAAAAAAGAAATAAAGAAGTCTTTAGTTTTTTTTTTGTGTGGCAACTTTATCGTTAAGATTCTTTGCGCTAGTACCACTTTAATTGATGGGTTTAAATCGATGAATGTATGTTTATAAAATAATAAAAATACATACATAAAGGATATGAAATCCATAATATATGTATATACATAAAAAATGAGTCTAAATAAATTAAAGTATTAAATGGATAATGTGGTATGTACTTATCGATCATGAAATACACAATTTACAAATTTCCTGATAGATGCGTAATCATATCAAACAAGTATTGGTATTGGTTTTATTTAAGTTAATTGAATTATGAGTTTGGCTTCTTAATGTGTGTAAACCACAAAGTCAATTTAATTTTATATACTTGTCTACTACACTGGTTTTAAGTTCGAATCTTTTGTCAAATTAATATATAATGTAGTGTAATATTCATAAATCTCATATATTTTGCACTCACTACAAGTTTATCTCTCGCGCAGTGTTCACAAATAGCCCAGAATTAAAACTTCGTAATGAAATGTTTCAATTGAAACCTCGTGCACGTAATAGATTAATTGAAACTGTTCTGCTAGTATTCCATGATAATGAAAAACACAAGGCGTATATTTTACTCTGACATTCTTTTTATATAGCATGCGGTAAGACGCTTTCCTTTCCGAATGGTTCCATATTATTTCAAGATTGAGTATTATTTTATTTACCGTAAAACATATATAACGCCAAATTATCAAAATATCGGGGGACCATTATAATTATCCAAATATAGAATGTCGTTATAATTGTACAGTAATTATAAAAGCCGTTTTGATAACTCTCTCTAAAGGATTCCACACAAATCTTACAATTTATTTCTGCGTTTTCAAACCTTCAATTGTACTTACAAATATCGATACATGTTTGTGAAGACATTCTTGTAGTCTGATTTGTTAACTAGCGGATCTGACCATCGCAATGTCCTCTTAGTATTAGAGTTTTCAGTTCTGTCATCACATCTCACATCGCACAATGAACATTCGCCACTTTTTTCCTCCACTGCGGGTAGTGCATATGTAACGTGGCAAATACCGTTTTGTGTTCGCATGCGGACGCGATGGCACAGGATCGGGCTGCGGCGGCGATGGGGACTACCAGCTGGTGCAGCACGAGGTGCTCTACTCCTCGTCCAACAGGTCAGTCGGTTCGATACCCGTGCCGTTAATTTATTGATCTTTTTTTTTATGTGAGAAAGTGGCAAACGAGCTGGCGGTTCACCTGATGTTAAGTGATAACCGCCGCCCATGGGCATTTGCAACACCCGTATGGTTGCAAATGCGTTGCGTCCTTTAAATAAAGTGGGCCCTGGCTACCTCGCTCACCAGACGAAACGCAGAAGTGCAACACTTCTACTTTACGCCTCTCTTCTGTGAGGTCGTGGTACTAACCCGGACGGACCTGCCTATTCGTGCAATAGCGAAAACTGTTGCGTGGCCCTACCACCGTTTTAAAACAATGAAAAAAAAAGATGAATATTTTAAATTACTCACAAGTCTAGATGTGAACTTTAACTGCGAGAATCAACCCATCATATTAGTTTCACACAATCATCATCATCATCATCACCAGAAGACGTTCACTGCTAACCAAATACCTCCGCCTCAGAACGACACAATAGTTATATACAAATGGAGCTAAAAAAATCCTCGTTTAACAGTTAGAGCGCCGTGTTCGTTTCCAGGTACGAGGTGCTGGAGTTCCTCGGGCGCGGCACCTTCGGCCAGGTGGTCAAGTGCTGGAAGAAGGGCACCAACGAGATAGTCGCCATCAAGATCCTCAAGAACCACCCCAGCTATGCTCGTCAAGGACAGATTGAGGTGAGATCGAAAACTTAGGCTCAGAACTGTCCTAATGTATCGTTACCTACTCTAAAAACTCGCTGCACTCTTACTTAAAAAAATAAAGTAAACAAACGTTCCAATATATGTCCCACTGCTGGACAAAAACCTCTTCAATAGGGAGGGTATTAGGGCGCAGTCCACCACGCCACCCCAACGCAGATGGGTGGGTGGGTAGACTTAATATATCTTCAAAATATTTTATTAAAAAAACATCAAGAATATGCACGGCTTCGAAGTATTAATTAAAAAAAAACGTTGTTTTCACGATGTTTTCCTTCACCGGTGAGCACGTGATAAGTTGGCACTTAAAATTGCAAATAAAAATTCCATTCGTGCCGTCACCGAGATTTTGACATCGAGCTGCTCGAGTATATTTGGATTAAAAGTCCAGACATTTTTTTTTACCTTACCTAAGGGCATATCCTGCAATAAATTGTAGGATATCGTTTTCCTTACACAACGTATTACAAACATAAATTCCACAAATTTATCAGTGGGTCGCACAAACAGTTGTCCCGTCCGAAGACATCGAACACGCAATAGTAACAAGTTCACTTGCACACACGCAAAGAATATTTGCAAATGGAAGAGGGGAAGAACGTAAAATAGTAATTACAAAAGTATTGGTCTCTTTCTAATGTCCGCAGATTTACTACTAGGTAAAGCATCGCTAGGAAACATAGAGGAAACATGTATATTCTAGAAATAATAATGGAAAGAATATTTAAAGTAAAGACGATATGTAAAGTGCGCCGATACGAGGCGGAGTCGCGTGGTGGACTAACCCTAATATCCTCCGTACGAAAAAGACCTTTGCCCATAAGTCGAATATAATGTATGCATATAAGTGTACCTAGTACACCTACATTATTAATGAAAAAGTTATCTTATCCGCTCACTGAAGTGACACACATATTATGTCACTGTTTCTCCCCCTCTTCGTAGACGGTATCTTCGTTCATTCATACTATCATTCATTCATTCATTCATTCGGTCACTCGTTCATTCATTCACTCGTTCGTTCTTCCCTACCGTTCGCAGGTGTCGATCCTGTCGCGGCTCTCGCAGGAGTCCGCCGACGAGTTCAACTTCGTGCGCGCGTACGAGTGCTTCCAGCACCGATCGCACACGTGCCTCGTTTTCGAGATGCTCGAGCAGAATTTGTACGACTTCCTCAAGCAGAACAAGTTCTCGCCGCTGCCGCTCAAGTACATCAGGCCGATACTGCAGCAGGTGCTCACGGCGCTGCTCAAGCTCAAGGTGAGCGGGATACCGCGCCGGTGAGGAGTTGGGTCTCCTCCTCCGAGCGGTGAGGAGTTGGGCCTTCTCCAAGCGGCGAGGAGATGGGCCGCCGAGAACTTGCCCGCGGCGGGCCATCTCCTCGCCGGTGGAAATTAGGCGTTGTTGTGGTGGTATTTTATTTTTTTAATGTTTGTATTTCATATTTACTCTATCAATAACGCTGTCATTTTTGGTTGTGTCTCTGCCATCTGTTGAAGTTTTTACCTATAACTGAAGTACCACTTACACATTTTTTTAGTTATTAAACTTTGTATATAAGTTCCGTTTCGGTGTGTTAGTACTTGCTTGGGTGATAATGAAATATTTAATAATGACATCAGTAAAAAGAATGACGTTAATTAATCATCGATTACCGCTGTCCCGTTTCCAGCAATTGGGCCTCATCCACGCGGACCTCAAGCCGGAGAACATAATGCTCGTGGAGCCAGCTCGCCAGCCGTACAGGGTCAAGGTCATCGATTTCGGAAGCGCTTCGCACGTCAGCAAGGCCGTCTGCAACACCTACCTGCAGAGCAGATACTACAGGTACTACTACCCTATGGTTCTCAAAGTGGGTTGCTACCCACCGTGGGCATAGCATTAGCAACCCACATTGAGACCGCTACAGCACCGCCCCCCAGTGGGCGCTGACGGTGTCTGAGGGGGCGATTGATTAAGTAATCAAAATTAGTGGGCAGTGGAAAGTATAAAAGCACTTTGAAAAACATTGCACTAACTCAAGGAGAAGTTCATTAAACAGCCTACGTTATTAAATTACATATATATATTTTTCCGTAAAAAAATTTAACGAAGAGTTTCTGAGGGGTGTTTTGAAACCAAATAATAATGTTTAGTTGTGAAGGGAACTCACCGCTGCAACCAAGAAGATCTAATATAAGTCTACCCATCAAAAAAACATTGCTCCCTTACTGTACATTAACATTATCCTGTGTTGTAAGGAAGTTTTACATACATAAATTTCACGTGGACAAACGTGGACAACACCCAGATCCGAAACAATAATCTGTGGAATCCCGTGTCGGAACCGAACCGACGACCCCCTTATGGAGTGTGCATGTGTTTCTATATGGTGCAAACTATTGAGAATTTTCACTGTTACAGGGCGCCCGAAATCATCCTGGGCCTGGCGTTCTGCGAGGCGATCGACATGTGGTCCCTGGGCTGCGTGGTGGCCGAGCTGTTCCTCGGCTGGCCGCTCTACCCTGGCTCCTCGGAGTACGACCAGATCAGATACATCTCGCAGACGCAGGGCCTGCCCACCGAACATATGCTCAACAGGTGACATTACTCTCATGTTATCGTTTTAATTTACCTCTGCTCGTTTATTTTTTTTTTAATTATAACGATAAAATTTTATGCAAACCCGCACAAAGGTTACTTTCATGGGGTCACTGATACTGAACACAGCTGTGTAATAGAACAGAAGCCATTAAGAAACCATTGTCTGCTTGCATCGAACATTTCGCTGAAGATATCAAATAATACTGAATTATTGTTCATTCTGTATATATTTTATTTACTGTGAGCTGTTATGTTTGATACGGCTAAGCTTTCCCAATTGTAAAATTAAACTTAAAAAGCACTGAAAAGCGTTAAACGCAACAACTATTGTACAATATGTTAAAGTTAGATGTTTTGTTTTCCTTTTACAAACTACAACATGAAGCGACCGCTTGTATAGCGGGTTGTCTCGATAATATGATATGAATGTTTTATTAATGGATACTATACTAATGGAAATGTTTTACTAATGAAGCTGTAATGGCTCAGTGTCCGGCCGAGTCCAAATCCCTGTGCCAGCAACAATTAAATTGTTAATTTTAAGTGCTGACTTATCGCAAGCTCATTGTCAGATAGCCTGCATATATTCGAAATGATGACTGTGTGAAGTCTGTCAATCCGCAGTGGTACAGATGGGGCATGGGGCCACAAGTCAGACATTATCAGCTGTTACTTCACTTTTACTTTTTAATTTACTAACGGTTCATTCACCGCAGCGCCTCGAAGACTGCCAAGTTCTTCTACCGGGACGTGGACAGCACTTACCCGTTCTGGAGGCTGAAGACACCCGAGGAGCACGAGCTGGAGACGGGCATCAAGAGCAAGGAGGCCAGGAAGTACATCTTCAACTGCCTAGACGACATCGGACAGGTGGGTAATGGATAGGGTTATTTGCCATAAACACTTTTAATACTAAGAAATTAAAACGTTGGTGGCTGAAAGTATTTGTTACCAAATTCAAATATCTTTGTTCAATGTACACTTACTTAATGATTGTCAAAAATTACTATTACTGATTCGGAAAAAGCCACCGACGTAAGAAGAAACGGCAAAAGAAACTCAGTGGGACAAGTTTTTTTAACATAATTTGATTAAAAAAAATAACATACATCTATAAAATATATTTAATTCCACTTGAAATTGGCAATCTTTTTATTTGTTAACACAAAGCTTACAAGAGTACATCACATTTTAACAATATCTACATTGAATAGTTGATCATACTTTTCTTTAAATTTGTTTGCAATTATCCTTACACGGTCGGACTAAACTAAAAGTGAATAATCATTCCACAGGTTAACGTACCAACGGATCTTGAAGGCGGCCAACTCTTGGCCGAGAAAGCAGACAGAAGGGAATTCATTGACTTACTGAAGAAAATGCTCACAATGGACCAGGTAATTTTATAAAATAAACATTTGCCCTGTATATGTGTTGACAGAGATTTCGGATTTATATCATCCCATTTATACTTGAATCATTTTAAAATGAGTGTCTATTAAAACCATTTTCTATATTTGACAAAACTATATTAAATCAAATAACTTTTGTCAAGTATAGTCACACTTGACACAAGATTGCCACAAGAAACCTTTCCCCACCCATTACCGATTCCAAAAGTTATATTGGTAAAGCTTTTGTGACAATTGGGCTACATAGGTGATCTATACAGTGAAGTCATTCTATGTATTTGTATATCAAATAGTAGTTGAAATGTTGCAATGTGTTCACAGGAGAGGAGGATAATGCCCGGTGAGGCGTTGAACCACGCATTCGTCACACTCGCCCATCTCGTGGACTATGCACACTGCAACAACGTCAAAGCCTCCGTTCAAATGATGGAGGTAAAGTTTAAACCGACATTAATATGTTTTACTTCAACTTATAATACATTACTTAAATATTTGATTGTTATTATCATGTCCATTGAGTTTTACTTCTGATATATGTGGAATTTTGACGCTCATCCCAATAAAATTGAACGTGATGAGTAGGGGATATCGTAAAATATTTGAATGATTAAAAAATCAACTAATTAGGATGCATCTATTAAGCTGATTATAATATTGAATACGTAACATAAGAACTAATAGGAAGTAATAATTCAATTCAAATTGATATATCTTTATTCAATATAGAAGCATTACACTTACGAAAAGAAAGACCACTGAAATGAGAGGAACAGAAAAGAAAAAAATCATTAAATAATCTTTAATTGTTGGTTGGACTGTTGAATACAATGAATCGTTCCGGGCAGGTGTGCCGTCGGTCGGGCAGCGGCGTGGGCGGCGTGGGAGTGGGCGTGGGCGCGGTGGGCGTGGGCGTGGGTGGCGGCGCGGAGTACGGCGTGGGCGGCGTGGTAGCGCCCGCCGCAGCGCCCACCGCCCACCACCTCGCCCTCACCATCAACCAGCAGCGGCTGCGCGCCGCCCCCTACGATAATCTGGTACGTGCCGTTTCACTTCTCTGGACGTAGTGCAACAGTGTTCTGTTGCACGAATGGGCAGGTCCGTCCCGGAAGACAGACGTGAAGTGGAAGTGTAAAAACTCCTGGGTTTCGTCTGGCCAGTGAGCCCATTTTATTTAAAGGTGGCAACGCATCTGCAACCCTACGGGTGTTGCGAATGACCATGGGCGGCGGTTGTCACTTAATATCAGGTGAACAGCCAGCTCGTTTGCCACTTTCTCACGTAAAAAAAAGCCATGGCCATGTTGGTGGATAGACAGCAGGGTTATATAATGAATTTTTCACATTAAAAAAAAACATTAAATTAGACTAAACTCTTACCGGGCATCGCTCTAATTCATATAAAAATGTCTTTATTAAGGGGCAACATAGGGGCATTACACTCACCTATTGATGGTCAAAATACTACCACCGTACCTGAGAAGAAGCGGCGAAAGAAACTCAGCCGGAATTTTTTTTGGCTCTGTGAGCGAAAACCGACAATGCCTCAACTTTGTATTCTTATTTTCCAGTACCAACTGTACCAAGGCGGGCGCGTGGCGGTGGGTGGCGCGAGGCAGTATGCCACAAGGGCCGCCGAGCCATTTCCCCACCAGTTTGTTTCTTCCATTCTGTGTCAGCCCGCTTACCAGGTAAGGAATAAAAAAATATATGCCACTTATTACACCAAATTTAATAGAACTAACAAACAAGTCAGAAACTATGAGAGAATTGAGGCTTAAACCTTGTTTTAACTTTTAAACTTGTATACTTCGTAAACTTTTAATAGTCTCCAGTTTTTGAGTTTTTTCGAAGTCAATTACAAAATTAAATAAAGAGGATCAATGAAAACGTAATAATAACAATCTTTTGACTCATTGAGATAATCTGAGATAAAAAAAAAACAAAACTGAAGTCAAACTATGAATTTTCTATTTGATTTTGAGGAGTGCCCTTTTGTCCAAGTCTTGGACTTACGACTCTGTGTAATCGGTAAACAAGCATATTAAAAATATTAAAAAAAAAAGGTTTTTGACGTATTGAGAACCCTCCTCCTTTTTTGAAGTATTTTAATAACTGTAAATTTTTTTAAGAGACTAACCGTAGTGAATACTTATAATAGAATGTACTTGTATTTTTCTATGGTGAATGAGGTAACCATAGAATGCGTCATAGAATTATTGAATATATTTTAATGTATCAATTTCCATCAGCTCGGAAATACGAATTAATTATTAATTAAAATTACAAAATTTTCTGCTGTTAATTTAATTACAGCAAAATTTATAGTTATCTTAAAATGGCAGTTCTGGTGTGATTTTTAGATTGTTTTGATGAAAACACTGTTCTCAACTATATGTGTATACTACCAAACAATTTTTTAAGAAATTTGAATGATAGGTGGAAAATGGATGCATTCATTATACTCCTTCATCATGTTATGTTTACTTGCACTACGCCATTCGGGTCGCAATTGATTTTACAAATGGACGTCCTTAGGTGCAGCAGCTGGCTGCAGCGGCAGCCGCCGCCGCCGCCGCCCACCACCAGCACGGTGTGGGCGTGGGCGTGGGCGGCGTGGGTGTGGGCGGAGTGGGCGTGGGCGTGGGCGACGTGGGCGAGTGGCGCGCACCGCTCATCGTGGAGCCGGCGCCTCTGCCCGAGCCCGACGTGTGGGACTTCCACCCGCACCACCCGCAGCACCATCACCCTCACAAGAGGTGAGTGGGGTGTTCGTATTTTGGGTGGAAGGGGTTGGGTTGGGTTACTACCCGACTACCACTGCGACACAGAAGATCTATTTTAGTTTTCCATTCGAAAACATTGCCCCCTTACTGTCTTCTCCTTTAATTTAAGAGCTAGGCTCTTGTCGGTGCAGCATCCCAGTAGTTCAGCTGTGTAACCCTCCATCCTTCCCTGTTCATAGCCCTATCTTTTACCTATCTATACAGTTTGCCGATTCGAACGATAATAAGATTTTGTAAATTTAAATAAGGCTTAGCTGAAAAATGTGCATGTTGCACCTATGAAGTTATTTGAGGCTTGTTTGATCAGACGACAAGGTGTTTGTTATAGCAGCTTGGGCTGTTCTTCAAGAAATATGTACTTTAAAGTGTATATCGGGACCATACTTTAGGAGTAATATATCAATCATATTAATGTACAAATTGAATTGAGTGCTTAAGTCCAAAATTCCCCAATCACTTAAAACAAAAGTGTTTAATCAATGCGTTCTTCCGGCTATGACATATGGATGCGAGACATGGACACTGACTGCTGGGTTGATCCACAAGCCCAAGGTGACGCAGCGCAACATGGAGCGAGCCATGCTCGGCATAACGTTACAGGACCAAGTCCGGAACGAGCTCATCAGACGTCGCACAAAGTGGTCGACGTGGGCCACCGAGTAGCGAAGTTAAAGTGGGCTTGGGCCGGACACATGTGCCGAAGAAAAGAGGAACGTTGGAGCAAGCGCGTTCTGGAGTGGAGACCCCGGCTAGGCAGGAGAAGTGTGGGCAGACCACCAGCCCGATAGTCCGATGACATAAAGGAGACAGCAGGCCCAGTCTGGACAAGGGAAACAAAGAGTCATGCCAAATGGAATAAAATTGGAGAGGCGTATGCCCAACGGTGGGCGAACACACGCTGAAGAAGAAGAAGAAGAATGTACAAATTTGTTCCACAAAACATTAACTTGTCAACTACAAAAGATGTGTTACAGAAATATAATAGAGCATGGAATTAACGGTGCTCATTGTTTGCAGATCCACGAAGCAGCAGACAAGCGCCGTGCCCCACTACCAGCCGCACCACCAAACGCATCAATACAGGTACCGACTAAACCACCACCCATCAAAAATGTTATCATATTACCGAAAAGGAAAGAACACATTCAACCTGCTACAATATTTGAAACACATCATATCAACTAATAAAACTTAAATATAAGTAATAAACCAATTAAATTAAACTAGAGATATATTTAGTTTGTACATTAATTGCTTATAAATATAGGCATATTATACAAAAGATAGCTTCATCAGCAGGATATATGGAGCATTTTAGTTACTACATAAGGATACTTTAGTTACAGTGAATTTTTTTCTGGTATGCCTTATAAATTCTGTCGTTGATTGCAGTATGGCAAGCAGTGGTGGCAAAAAGGAGCCAACTCAGCTGTCTCCAGTCAAAAAGAGGGTGAAAGAGGGCACACCGCCATCCAGGCACAGGCATCACCACGACCACACGTGAGTACTTTTAGAATTAAATCACATTTTTCTCATGGTTTCTGCGCATTGCCTTAATTTTCAAGTGTTTGTATCATTGGATAGTCTAAATCAATTGCTAGATTCTTACCAAACAAAGAAACAGTCTTGCCTTTCAATCAGGTTAATTCAAAATCAGGTTAAATCTAACCTTATTTTATGCTTCTTTTATTTGGTTAAAACCAAAGTAATTGTATTTAAATATTAATCAAATATATTTATAAATATTTGATTTATTAAATAATATATAATTAAAATATAAATTACTTTTCCTATACATCCAATTCAAGCTATTTCCATTATACACACACATCATAACATAAGGGTTATGATTATCAACGCTTTTAAGTTATTACATTTAATGATAATTGAGTTTTTTTTTTTTTTCCACTGCCAAGTCTTACTTTCCACTAACTAAATCCTTCTACGTAGCAGTCTATTGGGGAGGCCTATATGCAACAGTGGCCAAAATGATAATAGGGAATTTTATTGTACCATAGACTACCAATACCATACCAACATAACATGTATTCTTTATATATTATCATTATATACAGGGTCCAGAACGGCGCTATCGCCGGAACGTGGGAGGGCAACGGCAACTGCGGTGGTGGACACACCATCACCATCCGCGACACCCCATCACCGGCCGTCTCGGTCATCACCATATCGGACTCGGACGATGATGAGACGCCGCGCCGCCCCCGGCAGGGCCAGAACCAGAACCATACCCATCAGGCGCCGGGCCAGGGCCAGAGTCATCACCATCACCAGCACCAACATCAGCATCAGCACCAACACCAGCACCAAAACCAGCAGCATCACCAGCACCAGCAGCATTCGCACAACAACAGAGGTGAGTCCATCGTCACATTATGTATTCCTGAGATATTGTTGGCATGTTGTCATTTAACTATTGTGGGGCCACGCAACAGCTTTCACTGTAGCAGGAATAGGCAGGTCCGTCTAGGTCAGTACCAAGACCTCACAGAAGACCGGTGTCAAGTGGAATTGTTGCGATCTTCGAGGGGAGGACCTATTCATCCCTGAAATGCCACCAACAAATTTGTTACAAATGTGAGGGGAGTTCCTCTGCCCTGGCGAGAGTCAATGTTCTCCTTTGTCATAAAGAAAAACTATACCCGTTCGAAAAACGTCTCATCAAGTGTGTGACGCGACAGGAAGTGGCGACTGCGCGGCGACGACGGCAACGCACAACAACAACAACAACGGCAACAACAACGTCACCAGCGGCGGCAACAACACGAACGGCAACGGCCACAGCAACAACAATGGCGCCCCCGTCAACGCGGTGACGGTGAGCAGCGGCGGCGTGATCTGCAGCGCACGCACTCCCCGCGACGAGAGGCACGTCAAGCACGAGCCCCACCAGAATTGCCACCACCACCACCAGGTTAGAAACCACCACCCGGTTTAAAACTTATGACGTTCTCCTGCCCCTTATCACACCTAGGTGGGGCGGCACAACATGTGAATCGTTAAACAGCCGCCTGCCCGTCGCGTTCCCTCTTTGGAAACGAATAACCACATTAAGTACAATCCTTACTATCCTTACTAATATTATAAAGGCGAAAGTTTGTATGTATGGATAGATTTTAATAAAATTTTACAATAATAAAGCTTATACATCAGAATAACACATAGGCTATAGTTTATAAAGTCATTGTGTGAATTGTCCAAAATATAGGTAATGATAGGTGTCAACGAGGCAGGAAAAAATTCAGCCATCTGCGATATGAGATATTCTGGCGAATAATAAAAACTCATTGTTAATTTCCTTTGGCCGCGCGGGCGAAGCCGCGGTTAACAGCTAGTTATATAATAGTTTAGCAACTGCCACTGAGTATGTGATAATGTATTTATTGATATATAGCTTACATTGGCATATTTAACCCTTGAATTGAGTCTCTTATACAGTTAGAATCATGAATACATATATTGCACTTTCCTGAAATATTATCGCATATCCTAGTTACTTATATTCCTCTTGTGGATCAGCAGCAACAAGTGCAGCATCAACAACAACAGCAGCAGCAACAGCAACACCAACAACAGCAGCAGCAACAACATCATCAACAACAACAACAGCAGCAACAGCAGAGCGTGCGCAGCCACGCGCCGGCGCAGCCTCAAGCGACGCCGCAGAGCCAGAAGAAGCGCTTACTCGCTTTAGCGCAGCAAGAGGCCCAGGCGAAGCAGGAGCCACTGCCCGAACAACAGCCTGCACACTACGTCACGGTGAGCAAAACTCTCTTTTACCTCTTTTTCTCGCTCCTTCCCTTATGCCACACTAGGTGGGGTCGGCGCAACATGTAATTTCCTTCCACTTTCCTCTATCAGAGGACAAAACTTTCACAAACATATCATCCATTGCACAGTCCATCCAAAACTTTCTCGGCCTTCCTCTAGCTGTACACCCTCCAACCACATTTATATTCATCACTCTTTCAGTCACACGACTTTCATTCCTTATCATAATCCATGGCGCAGTTGCTAAGGTATCGGTTTCGGCGTCGGGGGTCGTGTGGGTTCGATTCCCACACGGGACAACTATTTGTGTGACCCACACATAGTCGTTTCGCATCTGGGTGTTTGTCCGCGTGAAATTTATGTTTGTAAAAATGTCCTTACAACACAGGATAATGTTATCCTAAAGTAAGGGCAATAAAAAAAAAAGGAAAAAAAAATATAATGTGCCCATACCATGTCAACCTAGTAATCCTTATTTTCTCAGTCACCGTTGCCAAGCTTGCAAGCGTTACTCATTTAAGATACCAATTTTCTAATAGAATGGGTCTTTATTATAGAGCGGTGCGACTATTCGACAAACGAACGACTATCAATGCAACCAGTACATGCCTGCGCAGATCAGCAAAAGGGACAGTGTGAGTATTGATTTTTTTTTGTAAAAGTATTTGCTTTTACGTAGGTAAACGTAATAATTTTTAATGTCTGAAAAACTAAATAGTTTTTCAGACATGAACTAATATGCTTAACATCTTATCACTTCTTTCTAATATAATATCCAGATATAGTGTTTGTTATTTATTTAATAAGCTTTAGTAAGACGGAATTTGAACCTTGTTTCTAAAATATAATAATAGTTTTTATAACACACTAATTGTTAATAAAATTGTTATTATGTTGTCAAGTCCCGTATATTATTTCATTTTAATACAAATAACTAATGAGCATTGCGCTCCATCAACAAGATTTACCACCTGACACATTTTGGGACTTTGTCCAACCGTTAGCATTCCCTGTTTACCTCATATGACTTAACAGATGGTTTAGTTACATACTACTTCTGTTACACATTTAACGTTTTGTGTGAAACTTTTCATAGATCCGGTTTCGTTTTATTATAAAACTAGCGGACTCGACAGACGTTAACAATTTATAAATAAAAAAAATTACAAAATTGATGACCATTTTGAATCTAAACCATTCTCGAATCGGTCCAGCCGTTTAGGATTAGTTTAGTGACATACACACGTACAGAAGAATTATATATAAATGTATAAAGATTTGACTTGCATTCTTAGTACTTAATGTTTTCGGTCTTCCAAAACAGTTAATTTTAATCTGCAGAGCGGAGGCTGCCGCGACTATCTGCCGGCCACGAGCGGCGCCATGAGCGCGGTTAGCGCCGTGAATGCCCACGCGGTGGGCGTGGGTGTGGGCGGCGTGGGCGTAGGAGTGGGGGTGGGCGTGGGCGTGGGAGGCCCGCCAGCCGCGCACAAGCACGCGGCGCCGCACGCCTGGCACCACCATCCGCACGCACACTACAAGTCAGTGATTTAGAAAATCAGATTCATCAGATCAATCGGCTCGGATCGACGGAAAATTTTCAATTAATTTTTCAATGCAATAAAATAATGTAGATAAAAACGTTGAGATTTTCATCGGTGTGGCAATCAGCCGTTTTGCTAAGTGGTTAAAGCGTCTGGGAAGACGTTGTTTCGATTACCCCTTGTACAAATTTTAAAAATTTTCAATCATCATCATCATCATCATTTCAGCCTGTTTGAGTCCACTGCTGAACATAGGCCTCCCCCACAGACTGCCACGAAGTACGATCCTGAGCCACCTGCATCCATCGACTTCCCGCACATTTGTTCGTCCCACACTGCGATGGCCAGTACGAGGCTGCCACTCGAGAACCTTTCTTCCCCAACGGTTATCGGTTCTACGAGCTATATGGCCGGCCCATCGCCACTTCAGCTTGCTAATCCTCTGAGCTATGTCGGTTACCTTGGTTCTACTGCGGATGTCTTCGTTACGAACTCTATCACGCAGAGAAATACCGAGCATAGCCCGCTCCATAGCTCGCTGAGCGACTTTGAGCTTCCTCATGCGGCCAGCAGTGAAGGACCACGTCTCGGTTCCGTAGGTCATCACTATACCCACTAAAAATGACGTGAAAATATGTTTGGTAATCAATTCATAGGAATATTAGTTATTTTTCGTTTTTCGATTGAATTTATTTAAAAGGACCAAGTTTTGGTGATATGGTTTAAAATATATGTCAGTTTTGTAGCGAATTATTTACCGTCATTATTATTATAAAAGTATTCTCAGCATAGAACTAGTATGCATTTAAAATCTTATATGCTATTTTGCTTATACGGAATTACATTTAAATTCATTCATCCGTCGGCATCCATAGCATTTTAAAGGAGGAGAAAAAACATTTGCTATTCACAGTCGAACATTATCTTTGTATAATAGTCTTCGGCACAGATATTGGTTTTGTATGTCATCCTTCAATATCCCTGTTTCACTAAGTAGTTTGAAATTCTAGTTTTAATGCTGCACGTGTTATAGTTTTGTGTGCAGTAATCACTGGCTTATATTTTTGGTACGCTAAGCAGGCTCATATAGGTTCCGTTGGTTACTAAATAAGTTTCGTTAATATTAAATGCACATAAGCTATATGCATCGTTAGCGTTTAGAGATGACGATGAAAATACTCATTATTCGCCATAATTTTCCAGAACGGCCAGCGGCGGTGTACTGTCACCCGGAGGGGGGGTGTCACCCGGATACCTCCCACCACCGCTTTACGTCCCCACATACCATTATCACACGTGAGTATATTTTTATGATCTTAAAATTCGAATCCCATATCAAGTAACATGAAATACTTATACAGCGTGTTACCATCGCGACAATAAATGAACACACGTGTAACGCTACTTGCCAATAATCATAAAAAATATTAACGTTAAAAAAATCCATAATAAAAAAAAATATTTTTCAAACAAACTAATTAAGTAACAAACTAATTAAATACAAAATTTGTAACATCCTATACAACTCGCGTCACAGCGTCGCATTACAAGCCTCTCCTTCTAACAGTATGTTTTGTCTCTTTTAAATTCATTCAACCCATTCATATGCTTTGTGACCTTTACAATTAAACGTTACAGTTATATACGTAAGGATGTTCTAAATTTTTTTGTTTTGGAAAATTTAATAACTCTGTAAATATTGATGTTTAAAGAATGTAAATGTTTAATACAATTTTAAATAGTTATCCCCTATACTTGTGTTTATTTATTGTCGCGATTGTAAAGACACACTGTATTCTGACTACCTGAAACTTTTTTGCCCTATAAATTATTTCTAGGGAATTTGTAGGGTAGAAAAAAATGTTTCATATGGACCATTCTTATCACTTAGGGATATTTAAAATATATTAGAACAGATTCTTTTCGATTATGATTAAAAATACATAAAAGAATTCATAAAAATCTAACGAGCAGTCTCGGGGGAGTATGGTAACTAATTGGTCATCATGACCATATAGATGATGGAAAATAACTTGGAAACTTTTGATTAAACATTGTTGGCACTGTTTGACGGGCAATATATTTTCGAATATATTCATTTGGATTTATTTGCATTTTATAATTAATCTAATACCTTTAAACGAGCAATTGGCTTTTGTAAGTGTATCCATTTTTTTAAATTAAATTCCAGACATAAATAATGAATTATAAAAAATGATAAATATTTTAAATCATTCGTAAGTAATTAATTACATTGTTATTATGTTATGTTAATTAATGTTTGTGTGCGTGAACAGTAAAATTTAGGTATGTATGCATGACTACCGCGTTGTCAACAAGTTCTGTTTTTTAGGGAACAGTATGGTAATGTTGTTGAAAAAAAAAAGTTTCTTTTTATTTCAATAAACGATTATACTACCGACTCTAAACCTCCTGTGTAAATTTGGGCACCTTTAAAAAAGCCTCTACCTTGAACAGTGATGGTGAGGAATTAATCCCCAACTTTCTACTTTTATTTTAGACCAATCCTCGTATTGTTAACTTAAGAGACATTGGTATGTGTGGAAGGGGTTGTGTAGTAAGTCCCAATGACTGAAGCATATTTGTTTGCAGGGGCGGCGTAGCGGGCCCGCCGCCGGCGCACCACTCGAGCGGCGCCCGCCTGCCCGGCTACCTGCAGCCCTACTCGCCCACCTACCTGGTGCCGCCCCACGCGCCCCACCAGCAGCACCAGCAACACCTGTGGTACGACTGAGCGTCGGCCGACGCTGGCTGCCCCCGCTGCCACCCCTGCCACCACTGCCACCACTCCGGTGTGCCCGCGCTACGGGCTTCGCTGCTCGTCTGGGAGGCGGCGATGTAGGGGGCAGCACTTGCGTACGAGCGGGTCGATGACCCCGCATCAACCGGCCGGCGTTACGGAGCGAAGAGGGGAGAATCGAGAATAATCTAGATTGACACGAGTCCGGTGTTGTGAGAGTGAAACTATCGTTCCGGCAACGTTTATAGATGAGGGGGAGGTGGGCAGCGTACCCGCCCCAGTTGCTCTTGTATCACGAAGCTCAAACGACCCTCGGATCCCCCATGACGTTGCCGTATGCTGTGAAGACTAGCGGAAGGCTCATAGGATATGTTCGCAAACCGCTCACTACCCTTATCCACCAACGAGGCAACAAGCTATATGGTTGGATATAATTTGCGGCCACCCTTGGTCCATAAGGGAAGCTGAGCAATTTCCCTAACCCCCCACTCCCAAAAAAAAAAAGGAACTGGCACGAGCGACTCTATCACACTGCAATTTTTAATCCAAAACTATGACTAGTGTGTCGTAATGTAGGGTAAAGTTCCTTTTTGCACCAATTTTGTGGGCACATTGACTATCAATGCTTTACATTTTGTAACGGTTCGACTAATTCTTGTACAAATTATTGAAGGGCTCGCCGGTTTTTGGGTGCGTTTGTGTGGAAGTATAGTCTCCAACCGGCACCCCTACTTTGGGGGTGCTGGGTTGTTTTATCAGAACCTTATATGTTTCTTATAGATAGGTGTTAGTGACAAATCATTTAACTGTATATGGATTGTATATTTAAATAAATTTGTTTTTTTTTTTCTTTTATGATTATCATAATTATAATTATTAATTGTAATTCTGCTGGAGGTAGAAGCGAGTGGGTTGCATTTACTAATGTTTTATTGTAGATGGTAGTGTTTGTACCAAATCTTTTAATGGGATGTTTATAACTATGGAGCTAAGGTAGTGACCCTTTGCGGTACTATATGCTAGTGTGCGTTGTGTAACGCAGATAATATTTAGACGTTTTAAGTTCCACCTGACAGTTGTTTGTTAATTATAACATAATTTTTTTCATATTTAGCGTGTACATTTTCGTTTAGGTATGAGATTTATTAATAGATGTTGTTTTCCTTCTTTCTTTCATTATTACGTTCCATATCAAGTTAGCATTAGCCTGTTTAATCGTAATATAATAATAAAACTGAAAACAAACGAGAACGCTGTGTTTAATCTATATCATATTATTAATATGGGGAATTTAATTATTTAGGTGTAATTTAACTCGAGTTAGATCGCGGTGATGGACAATTCGTATAGGCGTTAAGATGCAAGGTTCATAAACGAAATGGCAAAAAAAAAATAATAATATGTAATGTATTAATCGTTTTTAGCACAGTCATAGGTTATATTTCGAGTGTACTATGCATGTATGCGATAGTTAGTGCGATGTTTTATAACTACGAACGACGTTTCGATTAATTTCAATTGTTGCTATTTGTTTTCCTATTCTTAGGGGCTTGCTAGGGGCGACTTTTGGGGTCACGCCACACTGCCAGCAGTGTGTTTTTGGGATTTTTGGCATGGCATTTCCTTGATTACCCGCCATTTTTTTTTCTGTGGCCTTTGTGGATTTGTTACGCCCATCAGAGGAGGCTCACTTTGTGCTTTAGAATAGCGTCAGCTTAAATGTTCTCTGTTTATTTAGGCGACCGTTTACCAATCGTCCCTCGCGACCAAAACACCCGTATATAGCTGATAGGTCTCCGGGTTGAGTTCATTGTAATGCTTACTAATATAAGTGCCCATAATGTTGTTACACTCGTATGATTCACCTTATTTTTTCGCTTATTAGTTTTGTATTTGTTAGTTGTTAAGGAATTCAATTTAAACTAATATCTAATGGCCTTATTGATTAATGTAATCGCTGAAGCAAGTATGTAAAGCAATGATTTTTATTACATAGTATAATATGTATTCTCCTACCAAACATATGTTTATTTTAATGACAAGACTTTTTTCTAATATAATTTTCTTTTTAGTTTTTAGTACATATGTTAGCATTGCTGCCTGACAATAAAATAATGTTTAGTTCATTAATTTTTAATGGTTGTAATTGGATTTATTGATTTATGTCTACATTTAGTTATTGAGCATTGTATTGAAATGCAACTATAATTATGATGATTATCATCACAAAGCTTTTCGATTTAGTTTCTGAAAATGTTTCTTTTCTTTTAATTGCTAGAATTTTTAACTGTACACCAATTTCTGTTTTCGCTTTTCTTCACGGAATTTGAATTATTAGTTTATACTCTCTTTCATACAATGCTTGTTCTGAATCTGGTATTGCGGGATGTGTTTTACTTAATAAATTGTGATGGGAATGACCATTTACATTATGATTTTTACTGAAGTGTTTTATGCAACTCAGTATAAATGATATGCAACTGATATACATAAAAATTGCACAATATAGTATAATTAATGACCAATTATTAAATGAAAGTATACAGACAAATAGTAATTCATACTTATTTTTTCTTCAAAAATATTTAAAAGACAACAGAACAAGAACACGAAGTGACTGTAAGATTAAACTTCTATGGAACACATCCCACCATACCATAGTTCGGTGAATATTCGAGAAAGTAACTAGAGATATTGCGGCTGTTATCATTGATCTCCTATTGGCTCCTTCGTGTACTTTTTTTTTTAAATTAATTAACCGAGTCACTGGAAGATTTGGTTCTCGAGTAGATTTTCCGTATTAAATATTAGTTAATTGACTGTGAGTGTTTCTTGCGACGCTCAGGGCTGTGTGTGGTTCGTCACCCGTTATGACGCTTATTACAGAATAATATACTTTTTTGGGATGATGCAATAAAATTTAACAAATGCGTTTGCTTATCAGCGCACGAGAAAAATGAATCGCGCACCGCCTGAGCGTCGATTGCTACGAAACGCTACGGGACACTATTTCGTAGCGGTTACATTACGAAATACTATTTCGTAGCGTTCACGCAAATACGACAATAACTACAACTTGCGGCCGCATTCTATGAGAGAAATTGTTTTTGGAACACACAATTTTGACACAAATGAATTGAATGCCAGTTATTGTATGCTAATTGTCTTCTCTGAGTGCGGTCGTCTGTATCGAGCGATTTAATGTACAAATTTTCGCTTAGCACAAGCAAGCGCGAGCGATGTGTAATATTCGTTTTTAATATCGATAATGTGTTCTTTGTGCATTCTAAGTATAATTAATTTTCCTCTGTGATTGATAATTTGCGAACTAATTGTAATAACTGAGGAGTGTTTAGTTACGTTATCATAATTATTATTCACTATTATTATTTTCTTGTAACACTAACTATGTAACGTACCGATTGGGTACTCAAGTTGAGAGCTAATTGTATTAATGGGTATACTATGTTTTTTTTTTTAATTTAGATTAGGGGGGCTTGTTTTACTCGAGAGCGTAGGAGAATAATAACATTAATGTAAATTCGATTTGTGGGTGATCAGGGAATGTAGCACTGATGTTGCTTCGGTTTTTATCTTCCATATCGCATAGTTATAACGAGAGAGCGTTGTAAATAAACATCCAAATATCCCTTTTTTATTTTACTTTTATTTTCGCCGGCCTTCGTATCCCAAACCTTCCACTCCTGTGAATATTTTTTTTTCTCCCAAGTACACTCCCAAGAATCGTCTGTAATAACCTTTTCACGTATAGAATACTTCGTGTTACGCATTTGACGTTGTTTTTAGTTGAAGTTGTGTTATTGAAGTTTACGGTTTTCATGTTCAAATTGTAGTCGAATGTGCAACGGCCTCATTAGTCCCGGCGAGCCCGTGTCACTTGATAACAATGTTATAGTCAATAGTGTGGCGACCTGCGCCTGAGCTGCTGTCTCGACAATAACCCAGTGTCAGACAATAATGATTCTAATCATTTGCTACAAAATAGCGGTTTTCGTTCGTCCCACAATAGGCCCATAGAATTTTACGCTTACCTTAGAATCCGTAGTGACTTAGGCGTTCAAAGCATCGTTTCGATTGAATGTAGAAAACTTTGATGTACTAATGTGGTAAAATGGTTATCGGTGTTGTTGATATTTCTAAATTTAATATAATAGGGAATTTGACATTTTGTCTTTTATATTACACACGTCTTAATTCAAAGTTCTGATACGTAAAGTGAAATTTAATCGATTGTGCGAAAATAACATTTTCATGTTCATGAACGTTTAAAAGAAAATATCGATGTGTCACTCGCTATTTGTAAGAGCTTCTTTAAAGTGGTTTTTGCGTGTAAAATTTTTAAAATCGTGTTAGAACGTCTTAATTCTAAATGTAATGCAAAGACAATTTATTATGATTATAATTATGTACTTCTTTTTCTGAATCAACCTAATATTACTATGCCTTGGAAGGTTCGTGCGCTTTACAAATGGATAGTACCCTACTATTTTGCACGGGTACAAAAGTAATAGAAATATAAATAAATGTATCGATGAGCCTGAATGTCGATCGAGATACGGTATCGGCGCTTTATTCCTTTGAAAACAAAATAATTGAACGCATAGGAATTCATTTGTAAAGCTTTTCTTCAAAAATGTAAAATTGTTGCCCAATAATATAAAATCTATATACTTTTTGAAGTTACGGTTTTACGCACAATAATTTAAATTTTTTCGGTTTTTTTATATAACACATATTGACTGATAATAATTTTCTCATCGTACTTAGGAAAAGGCTTTCGTGACTAAGTGTAATGTGTAGTTACGCACGAAATTTATCCAACGTAGGATGGCTAATCGTGATTCGATGTGTTTAGACTTGAAGTGTACGTAATTAAGAGTTGTATCAATGTGAGCACCACGTTCCCTTAGATCTTTTAAAATTATATACTATATTTTACACACAGCGACATACCAAAATTCAATAGAAAG